TCCACACAGTGTGACCAGTGTCTGCTGTGAGGGCAGGCTCCACACAGGAGGCTGTCCTCCAAACTCTTCAGGTGTCTTCATGGAACGAACACAGAACAACAGGTGCTTCATATAGAGAAACAGAAGAAAAACCAGTTTCCAATATTGTGCCCAAAGAAAGTCACCACTATGTTTAGACGGATTCACTATAAAACCAACAAGCATAAATCTGAACTTGGCTTTTCGGGTGATAAAATCTGGTGGGAAAATGATAACGTTGAGCCAAAAGCACCAAACCCTAAGGGACAGGGAAGAGGAAGCTCTGAACTAAAACAAAAAATAAATGACAGCTGGACAGTGGTGGCATATGCCTTCCACCCGTGCAATCCAGAGACAAAGCAGGTATAATTTCTGTGAGTTCAAGCCAGCCTGGTCTACAAAGTGAGTTCCAGGACAGCTAGGGCTATACAGAGAAACCCTGTCTAAAAGTGAAAACAAAACAAAACAAAACAAAACAAAACAAAACAGCTGTTCATCCTTCAGAGGATTTTTTTTTTTCATGTAAGTATCTAAGCTACAGCCTTTCACTTCTTGTCAAGCATGTGCCCAACCATCCTGGCTAGACCAGGGTGGACTCAAACTTGCAAAGATCCGCTTACCTCTGCCTCCCCAGAGCTGTCTTTATATTCTATATCCCAAATTAGGCATGGCACATTTCAAGGGTGCAATGAATGATATTTTAAAACTATGTTGAGAACTATCCTATATGCTAGGCACCGATCAGATATTTTGCATGACTTAATTAAATCTCCACAACAAATCTGTTACTGTGTGAGAGGGAGAGAGGGCAAGGGGGACTGAGAAGACCAGAGCAATTAAAACTCTACTCTGGGTCACACTGCTGACCACAGAATTGGGACTGAGCTCATAACTTTCTGTCTTCAAGCTTAATGTCTATATGCCATTAAGCTTGATGATGAAGAGTAATATTCTTTCTCAATGTGGTTTTAGAGTAATAACTACGTAACTACTGTTCCTCATTGTTTACTTGCAAATTTAAGTGTGGGACATGGAGTGTTTTGGGCTCTAATGCTGCTTTTAAAAAATGTGCATGTGTATAGAGTATTTGTGTGTATGTGTATGTGCGTGCCTGTGTGTGTATGTACTCCCATAACACATAGGCATTTGGCCAGAGGAAGTCCAGAGCCCTGCTCTGTCATGTCCTGCCTTATTCCTCTGAGGAAGGCCCTCTCGTTGAACCTAGAGGGAGGCTGGCTGCCAGCAAGCCCAGGAATCCTCCTGTTTCCGCTCCCTGCAGCCCTAGGGTTAGAGTGTCCATAGCCACACCTGGCTTTCTGTGTGGGTGCTAGAGATTCAAACTCAGGTCATCATGCTTACACAGCCTTTGCTTAGACACTGGGCTTTGCCCCAGCCCTAATGCTACTATTAACACTGAAGGCAAACATATCATTAATTACTTTTGGTACACAAAGAAACCTCAGTGTGAAGGGGAAGCTGAGTTGCCACCCAGTGACATTAAAGGGCCCCAGCTAAAAGCTGGGCCTTCCACTTGAGGTCTAGGGTTATTTCAACTGTTTCACACCACCGTGATAACATTTCTGAACTTTACAGTTCGCTGCTTGTTTGGGCTTCCAGAGCGAAGCGTGGGTCAGATGTGCGGTACATACTTGTAATCCTAGCAGCTGGGAGGCTGAAGCAGGAAGACTGCAGTAGGTTCAAGACAAGCCTGAGATGCATGGCTCGCTCCAGGTGAGCTGAGGCCCTACAGCAAGGTTCTGCTTCAAAAAAGAACTCAGGCTGAGACTCGGGTGCTCCAGGTTAAGAGGACTTTACCAGACCCAGGGACTCATGCGGTGGGGGGGGGGGGGGGATGGGACACAGCCTGGCGAGCTGTACAGCACCTCTTCTATAAACATAAGGACATGAGTTCCATCCTCAGAGCCCCTGTCAAGCATCAACGGTGCTCAGAGGTGGGCTGGAAGCCCCAGCGCTGGAGAGGTGGGGACGGCAAGGTCCCTGGTCTACAGAGAGCCCTAGACCAATGAGAGACCCTGTCTCCCCCTCCTTCTCCCTCTCCCTCTCCCTCTCTCTCTCTCTCTTACACACACACACACACACACACACACACACACACACACACACACAGTCTAGCCCTTTCAACAGGAACCTTCACTTTGGGAAGGCTGTGTGAGAGTCCACTGAATCGTGTGGTCCTACTTTTTGGTTCTGCTCTCCGTTCCTCTAGGCTGCTTGGACATCACTAGCAGTCAGCATACAGAGACTCTTCCTACGATTATTTCCCAGACATGAGCTGAAAATATCTTGTTTCCTTGTGAAATCCCCAAGTAACTATCACATATGTGTTGTGTGGGCTACTCCCCTTCATTGAAGAGATCGGCTTCTTGTTCAAGAAAGTGCTCCTACAAGGAAACAATTGAGATGCACACACAGATATCTTTGAGCTCCAGAATGAGAATTTGGAGGTCTCATCCATTCATATGATTCAAAAATCCTACTAGAGAACATGAAATCTTCAAGCCAGGTATTTGGTTTGGGACCACAGTTCTTTGTCATATTAGGGACTGATGAAGCAGAGACAGCGTTAGATGGAGGGCCAGAAAAAACGGATAGGAAAAGGCCAGGGCAGAAGGTGATCAAGAGAGACCAAGTGGGGTAGAGAGGTGGCTCATCAACTAAGGGCACACAGTGCTCTTGCAGAGGACCGGACTTCAGTTCCCAGTACCTGCACAGGGCAGCTCACAGCCACCTGTAATTCCAGCTCTTTTGGCCTCTGAGAGTACCTGCACTCACATTCGCATGCATGCACACACATACACTCACAAATAAAAATAAAACACTTGGTTGGGCACGGTGGCCCAAGCCTGCAATCCCAGCACTCGAAAGGCAGAAGCAGGCGGATCTCTGTGAGTTTGAGGTCAGCCTGGTCTACAAAGTGAGTCCAGGACAGCCAAGGCTACACAGAGAAACCTTGTCTCGAAAAACCAAATAGATAGATAGATGCTTATAATTTTTATAGAAAGTCCAAAATAGAGTTTTAGGGAATAAACCAAGATCTACTCCAAGTTAAGGACAAATAGACACAGAGTCAAAAATCCATAGAGTGACAATTACAACAGCTAAGCAAGAGAAAACGATAAGACACAAAGAAAGATGCATACAAAATGAAGAGCGATGGTTGCTTCTGGACCATTGTTCCCTTTAGGTAAACACCCACAGAAGCCACTTGAAGCTGTATGACATGGAGAAAGCAGCTTTAGCTCCCCTATAATGGGGTAGGGGGGCTAGTTCTACCTGCCACACAGGGTGGCTTGAACACTCAAGTGAGTCATGAATCAAAACTTTATGTTAAACTATGTGCTGGGCATGACAAGGGGTTATTGTTCCTGACCTTGGCTGCCTGCGGCACAGTTCTTGGCTGTAAAACCTCTAGTAAGTATTCTGGTTTGAGTATGGGATATACCACGAGAGCTCCT